TGAACAATGGATTCCACGCCAGCTGTAGCAGTTCTACCTTTCCATGAAGACAAACGATTTTAAGGTTCTGTAATATGGGATTTGAAGCTTATCAATGCTTCCCTTTTTCCTCTTGACAAGCACTGATAACAAAATCTTTTGAGAAAAATAAACAGCAAGGAAAAGAAAAAGGGTCATGATGAGTTTTATGTATCTCATACGGCTAAATTGTAAGGACTATGTTGATTTTGATCTGTTAGAGGTCCAAATAACTCTTATAGGGACAACAATTGAACTGACGGAAAATCCTGTTGAATTGTTATTTTAAAATTTTAACTGAAGGGGGCAACTGATGCAACATTGGATGGGGCCTTTTGTGAGACAGGTATATCTAAAGACTGGAACAAGGCACAATTTCATTGGAAGTTTAAAACTGCGAGAAAGTGATAGTATTTCTGTTAATTTCATTGTGTTGGTTGAGATGCTTATGTTAGACTGACACCAGACACCAGTCAATACTTGCAGTGTGAGTGAGATTATTCAGCTCTTGGAACCAATTAATTCAGGTTTGAAGAAACAATGCTGCCTCTATTATGTATATGTATAATACTGAGCTCCATAATGAATAGTCAACGAAGAAGACTACTCAGATTTTAAGGGAAGCCACAAGAAAAGAACAGATTGAGGTAAGCTATATGGAAAGAACATGAAAGGTCAAGCGATTTAAGAGAACAAACGGGAACAGGACAGGACCATAACTTTAACGGCGGTATGTTATATATGTGGCTGAACAGAGAACCTTTTACTTGTTATAGAAGGGTGGAAATAATGTTTTGCATTTATGATGTTTTAAGAGAGAAGCTGCTTATAGTAGCTGTTAATGAGGCTGCAATATCTAACTAGGTAAAATGTCTAGCTCTTTTTGGACTAGGAGTTTTCGTGGTGAGTCCTTAAATTTAAATCTACACTGCTGATTCAACAACCAAGGGTAAAACTGGTGTTGAGGCATGATTTCAGGTAGTTTGAAGAAATCAGTGACTTAAAATTATTCAAAGATTTTTGTTGGAAGCCTGAAAGTGTCAAAGGGGATGATGAATAACAACAGCAAAACAAGGCCTTTTGGGTGCCAAAAACTGTGGGTTTTTTTGGAGTTTTTTCCTTTCACATATTTTTTTGGGACAAATTCTTTGAAAATCTATCAGTACGGTCTGATGGCTCAAATGTATATTCCTTGTCAGGCTAACTTCTCCCGCAAATTCCCAAAAAAAAATCAGAGCGATTTTGACTAAATTAAGTGCAAGAATTAGACTTGTTAAGTTTAATCATGACAAGGAAAAAAAATATGAAATTGATGTGATTTAAAATTTTAATAAAATTTATTTTGGTAAAAATTAAAAAATGAGTTTTGTGTTTAACGTATCAAATTATAACAAAATAATTTTTAATATTTTACATATGTTAGATAATAAATAAAAAAAATACGAATTATCAAATTTAACAAAAATGATGTCTAATAAAAAAGTTACTGGTAGTTCATTGTGGTGTAAGTTTCATAGCAATAGTTGAACAATGAAAGAGCAGCAATTAAGTAAGTATTGATTGGGATTACATAAATCATCAGTAACTTGAAAGAGCATCATATTAGTTCAATAATGACGAAATGGAGGCCAATTGGAGTTTCATTGTTCAAAGAACAGATCAATTAATCCATGAAAAGAGAAGAATGTCACTTTATAGCTCTATTTGTTTTTGACTGATTGCCTATTCTTTTCATTACAAATACAGAAACAAAGGAGGAAGAAGCTGACATATATGAGTAGTTAAGTTTAATTTTTTCTTCTTTGTGGGAGCAAAAGTCATATTGACTGTGTTTTTAAGCTCCTTGTCTTAACAATATAAAATCCTGCATTTTCTGTATTCTCTTTTGATTTCCATGCTCATACTAGCTCACAATTCACATGGAAGTGATGCTTTCGCATGCTCATACTCATATGAAACTTTCGCATACTGGCTCACAATTCACATGAATAAATATAATATATTTTTATTACTTAATTTGACGCATTAAAAAAATAGAAGAATGCTCCGCTGAATTTTGGGCTAGCATTAACGTAAGGAAAAAAAAAAAAAACTCTTTAATCACTCCCTCTGTATTTTTTGGTGAGAGTTAATATCACGAATAATCTTTGAGATATAATAAAATATTTAATGTGACATAAAATTTTAAAAATTTTTAGTGTGATATTTGAATTATAAATTTATTAATTAATATTGTATTCAACTTAAAAAGTTAACTCTTAGTAATGACATGTGATTGACAAATAATTTTTCATGTACTAATTATATTAATTAATAAATTCATAATTTAAGTACTATATAAGATATATTATTTCTTTTGATGATGAAGTTATATTTACCAACCCAAGTAATCTATCTTTTTTCTTTTTCTTTTTAATTTGGAGAAAAGAATATACGAATCTAGCCAATTCTTTGAATAAAAATATAAACTTGAGTTAAATGTTCTGATGAGATCCATATATTTTCTTGATGACAAATCCTCACATTTTGACAAAATTAAGCTCTTCTTAGGTTAGAAGCATTTAAGTCAACAAATTCCTAATTAACAAGTTTAATAATTGACATTCTAATTCTTAGTAAATGTCACTTTAGGAGATATCGATGTGTGATTACTGATAAAGAATAAATGGAAGCAGGTTTTTTTTTTTTTTAGTGCAATTCTTCTCAAGCAAAATAATCACACACACAATAAATGGTAGGCTGTTATGAGGTATATGCCTCAAACTCAAAGGGTAAGAGTATAAGCATCATTGATTAATATTTAGGATAAGGGTATACATTGTTTTAGTATCATTAACTTGATATCAATAAAATAATATTTGACTTAGTAAAAAAAATTATACATCCTTTCAATAAATTTATGATTTTATTAACGAAGAACACTTAATAAGTTTTTTATTGAAAGAAATCTTGGTTCAATAAATTGAATTTTACCTGTCTATGTAAATATACGAATTAATTAATTGATTACCCATGAACCGGTAGATTTCAGCTTTGAACTTCTCTAATAACTATAAGCAATGAATAAAATCTCGATTTTCATTAGTTAATCCCCATGTGGTCATCAGATGATAGCTTTAATTAAGGATTTTAGAGGTTTCATATTGCATAACCGGCCCACCAATGAATAAAACGGCATTTTTATTAATTTTCCGATGAGATTATTGTAAATAATCTTTTCTTCCCAGGAACCTAAACTGCGAGTTTGATTAAGAAACTTGCTCAACTTATTGCTTTGCCATGTACTTGAAGCTGAAAAAAGATTATGAAAATATAAATTAACCCTGACAGATTGGATATTATCGCTGCTTCCTAGCTTGTTTACAATTAAATTAAGGGAATTTCTTTCTTTAGATTTTTTTTTTCTTTTTTTGGGTTCAAAAAGGATTTGTGAATTGCAATAAGTGTTTTCGAAAGTGGCTTAAAATTTGAAGTCAACCAATATTTTATTTTATATATAATTAACGAAAAGATTAATTTTTACCAAATATTTTAATGGCTAGAAATTTCCTAATAAATCTCCACTCACTTGAAATTCACCAAACCAATTTTTCTAGACAATATGTTTTCTATAGTACACGTCATGAGATTACCAAGCTTCATGAGAAATTACCAATGGTAGCCTTGGTCTAAACTTGTCATCACAGCTGCACGCTATCATGCCCAGTAATTGTTAGTCTTATAGAGATTTCCTTTGTTCAAAAAGAAAGATTTTGCTTTTTCTTTTGGGTAAAGAATAAAGATTTGGTTAACACCTGCAAATTAAGTAGCATATTTTTTCCTTGAAAGGCAAGAGGAAACAGACACAAATAAAAAAGAATCCAAATAGAATTAATCGAAGTTGGAACTAAAGAAAATTAACCCCAACAAGGCAACAAAGACACCATGCATGAATCCATACATAGGCAACTAATTCTTAATTACCATGCAGAAGACAATTTAAGAAACAATAATATAACCTAGCTCGAAGAAGTTTGGAAGTAATTAGAACTCCCCATAAAGCATAATTATAACTTTTGACAAGCAATATACAATTAATATAAGCTTTTCCTCTATTTATTTTGCGGAAATGCACAGAGATCACAAACAAATTCTATATTTAGGGTTCAATTCCCTACTCAATTAAATTCCCATATTTACGACTGAGCAAAAATTGTCTACAACAAAAACCCTTGTACATGTAAACCTTTATCAGATCTGTCTAAGGATATTTGTCTATCGTAAATTCTACTAATTATTAAATTTTTGAACATTTTTCCTTATATATAGTGGCTGGCTGGTTGATGTTGATGCATGTCTCCATCAATCTGCCCCAGCTACATGAAAATGAAAAAAAAAAATAGCAATAATAATAATGAAGCTACAATATAAAAGCTTGTGCTATTTCCCTTTCCTATTTTGTTTCATTTTATTAGCTATTATCGTTAACCCATTTGCTTCCAACTCCAAAGGTGTTCACTGAATCAAGCAGTGTTTGCACATTGAAAGGGACTTCCAACAAGAATTATTTTTGACCCTTGTCTTCCCCATCACCTACTCATAGTTCCCTAAGAAAACTCTAGCTCTAACAACATTGAAAACCTGGTTTTCTTTTTTAGTTTACATTGATGTAAAGATGCAGGTGCAACGTGCTGCTGAGGGGAGAATTTAGAAAACTCCTTTAAGCCTAAAAGATATATATATATATATATATATATATATATATACACAGCTGGAACCGCATTTATGTATTGCCATATTCCCACCACCACCTTTCCACTTTGAGGAAAATTTATGCTACTGCAAGTCATTTTTTTCCCAAATACTTCATAAAGAATACTGAAAAAATATTATGTTTTCTAATTATATGATCATTGTATTTTAGCACTTTGATGCATTCAATTAGAATGCGACAACAAGAGATATTGAATCTGTGAAGGATTCACAAGGACAAAAAATTGGATTCTCGAGAACAAAAATCATGTCCTCCAAATCAAAACTCATAAATTGACTGAATATCATCTGAAAACTTGCCCATGCCTTATGAAACAATATTGGGTATTGAAGAAATTTTTTCTAACTGCTAAAAAGCTAAGCATATTTTTCTGCTCAACTTTTGCATGTTCATTATCAATATGTACGATAAAAATTAATGATGCATTGGAAAATCAAAGCTAAACTGTTATGTATACTAGGAAAAATAGTTAAATAAAATGGGTTTTGATGATCAAGAAGAAATACCAACACCAAGAAAATCTATGAAAGGAACATCCTTCGTTTTGATGGATTCATCCTCTTGCTCCTGCTGGGAATTACTCACTCTAATATTTGCTAGCTTGGGTGCATTATCAGTAAAGCTCATCAACTCCTTCATCACACCATTATTAGTTTCATAATTATGACCAAGTTTAATGTAGCCAAAAGGACTAGGAACGACCGTCCTGTAGTTTGGGAGACCAAATGCACTGGAATTTCTGAAGCTGCTACAATATGCTGAAGCGTTTGAATGATATTTATATAGAGATTGATCTAAAAACTTTGAGCTCTCCATGGAGTAATAACTAGAACCAGAAGGCAATAAATAATCTTTTCCATCTGTTCTTGAGAATTCGACTGAAGATGAATTATTTGAAGCCATCATTATTGATGAAGTAAAAGTCCCAGATGGTGAAGAAATTGATGAGGGTGAGACTGAGAAAACCCTTTCTTTACTGAGGTTTTGAAATTCAAAAAACCTATTGTCTCCAATTCCTGAGCTAAAAGCCTCTTGACATCTTGCTTTCCTTGGAGTAAAACCAGTTGAACTTAACTTGGAGACGCTAAGACCATCTTGAAAACTACTCTTCCCACATAGCTTGGACTGTTCTCTTTGTTTTCTAGCCATTATAACATGCCAGTGATTCTTCACTGCATTATCGGTTCTACCAGGAAAGAGTCTAGCTATTAGTGCCCATTTGTTTCCATGAATATGATGAGCAGCAAGGAGCCTTCCTTCTTCCTCTTCTGTAAATGGCCTTCTGTTGATTCTAGGGTCAAGTTGATTAAACCACCTCAATCTGCAGCTCTTCCCTGTAAAAACAGATACAAATAAAATTAAGAATAGTTGGGTCATGGGTCATATATTTGCATAAGAGATCGATCTTGCTTTTGTTTATGATCATCTGTTCATGACTTACGATACTATTAGTTTTTAAAAAAAAAAGTTGCTCAAGTAGGTAGAAGGGAGATATCTGATAGACATGTATGTGAAAAATAAAATCTAAAATACTAATCAGTAACCCATATGACCACACTAGCTCACCCAAAAATCATGATGTTTTCTGATTTAGTATTAAGTTGTGAATGATCAGCTTAATAATTTGTGAGCTGAATACTTTGCTTGAATATCATACTTTAGGTCCCAAAAGATTATTAAAAGTTAACCAGAGTGGAGAGAAAGATAGAGGATAGAGCTGATTTTCCAAGTCTAATAACACAGTAATTAGTTACCTGATCTTCCTTGGAGCTTTTCTGCAATAGAGTTCCAGTTTTGTGCACCATACTGTTCAACAAGTTGCCTGAGTTTTTCATCCTCAGCAGGCCTCCAGTGTCCTCTAGGACAAGTACTCTTAACATCATAACTAGAAGCAGCTCCTGAATCCTCCATGGATGATTGGTGGAAGATATGTTAATTGCTTGTCATCAAGGCTCAAGCACACCAGAAAGGAGTCGCCAAGAAGATATATAAGGGAGGGAGAAAGGAAAATGAAGAGAGAATATAAGAAAGTGCGGTTGGTTTAGGGTTATGGATGGGAAGTCACTTTTGTTGGTTTTACACGGCACATTAAGCCAATGAATCTGTAGAACCACTGACCCTTTCTTGTTATGCTATTGGCCCATGTACCACTCTATCAAAATTTCCCAACAATATATTTCCTTCATTGCTAATGCTAGCTCATCTTTCCCAATAATGCACTTTCTCTCTTACCTTTTTAAGCCATGGTATTACGTGAAATCAAGCCTGGTGATTAGGGCACCTATAGTAGTTTTTATTAAAGGGACAGCTCTCCTGATGCAAACACTACTTGCTTTCCTAATTGCATTCATGAGCAAGGGATCACGAATTATCACCTTTAATATATGCTTTGTCATGCAAATAATGCAGGGATATGCCCAGGGACAGATCGAGGATTTCTGATTAATGGGAGCAAGTATTTTAACTTAATTTATAAAATTTTTATTGAAAAACAAATTAACATTTACTACAATTTTTTCTATAAAATACAATTTTTTATGTCATAGATGCAACATTTGCATAGCTAAATTAACTATATCGTTATTAATTAATATAGTTTAAATACTATAATCTTATAGATAAATTATCTTTGGACGTATGCAATACAGATACATACATATATAAATATGTATATATATTTATTTAATAAAATTTTACTTGTGAAATTCTTAAATATAAATATAATATGTGAAAGAATAAAAATTAATATTTAATTTCAATTTTATCATCTATTTTCATTTCTTATTTATTAGAATATGGAGAATAACAAATGCTTATTTTTTTATATACAATGAAAACAATACTGTTTTATGTACAACGAAAACAAGAATGAAGATATAAATTTATGTTAGTTAAAATTTTTTACTTTTTATTCTTATTAATTCACACTTTATATGTTATCTGCATAAATTCTAAAAGTTATATATTTATTTTTCTTCAAAATTAATGTATATATTATAATGAAACTACTTATCACCCAAAGTATAAATATTCAATTACTAGATAAACAATAAAAAGTTTTCTTATATGATCCTCAATTTAATGGGGACAAATATGATAAAAAAAATTTTAGGGGGGGCAAAAATTCTGAAATTTATGAAAATTTTCTATAATAAATTCAAAGAATTTTAGGCTCCGTTTAGTTTGAGAAAATATTTTTTATTTTTATTTTCTAAAAAATAGTTTTTATTTTTAATTTTTTGTTTTCTAAAATGTATTTGGTAAACGAAAAAAAAATTATTTTCTAAAAATTTAAAAATAAGGAAATAAATAAAATATTCAATGATATTACTATTAATGTCATCTAATTATAAATATAATAATATTTATTAATTAATGATATTAAAAAGTGTTTAAATATGATAACTTGCAAAACCTAAGGGAAAAAGTAATGTATATCTATTGTTTTCACAATTGAAAACATTTTTTTTTTGTTTTCATGTTTTAACTCATTTTCATTTTTGTTTTCTAAGAACTTATTTTCATTTTTAATTACCAAACATGATTTCACTCATGTTTTTTTATTTTTCAAACAAAAATGAAAATAGAAAATGACTTTGTTTCTTAAAACCAAATATCATCTCAATGGGGGCAGCTGCCCCCACAACTCCATGCGTAAATCCGTCCCTGAATATGCCTTCACATTATCAATAATTAGCCTACCATCAAAATTTAACTTTTTCTTATTCTTTCTTTTTGTTATACAAAAAATTTTACTCATAGGAGTTCAAAAATCTAAAATCAAAGTGAGAAGTACTTTGATTATAATGTTAGTAAGTTGGGGTATTGCTAATTCTCAAGTACATGTTACATTCGTGATCTAAACACAACTAAGGATCGACAATGTTTAATTTATAAAAAGAAATTAAAAAAAGATTTGGGCACTTTTTCCATGCTAATCAGTGATGGTATCTATACGAAGATGACACCTTAATGACCCATAAACTGTATCTAAGTACAAATACTGTGTAGGCCTACCGAATATAGAATAGATCAATTACTATATAGGTGATAGTGTACATTAATGTTCCATTTATTGAACTTTGCTCCTTTAGGCACATTATGCTTCTTATTTGAAGCATTTTAATTGTTATTGCATTTGAAACACATAACTTAGAATCAGTGGCAAAAAAGTTGGTAAAATTCAAAGTTGTCATACCAGAATTAACAACAAGATAATATTAAATTATGATAAGCAAGCATTTTAGAAAAGCATGCACATGCATCATCTAAATCAGGTGATCCTAATTTAGGGATTTGATTTGTTTGTTTTGACATGATTAGTTTTGATTTTAAGAAAGGGTTAAATGAATATATTATGCTTTCTGCTAGCCAACTTTAAATCAGCCATTTTCAGTGAAAAACCATGTGATTTTAAGTATTTAACCTTGTTAAGCTAGCTGTCAAAATAATTGTATCTTTTCGGTCTAGAATGTATGAACGCCCCAAAATTAAACTATGGTTTTTGTTCAACATTCTTTGATATTTTAATGATAATTAATCAAAGTCATAAAAGAAAAACATCAATGATAATAAGACGAGAGAAGATAACTTCTTGGTTTGTTTTCAATTTTTTTTCCTCAATTGTAAAAAATAGTAATTTCTTCAAGAAAAACCTCCATATTAGATAAATAATATTGATGCCTGCCACTGCACCTTTGTTTTCTTGTTATAAGCACCTGAATATGCTTGTTCAGTCTCTCCAATGGTGCATATGGTTTGAAAGTAATGGATGCAGGACAGTGGTAAATGAATGACAGTTGAGCTTAATGTTGTTTGAGAATATTTATTTATTATTTATTTGATTTTGTTAAGGTTAAACTTTTATCATTAAAACTAAGAATTTAGCACTCAATATAACATATGATTGTCGGCTCACACACACACACACACACACACATATACATATATATATATAATTATATATGTACTTTGGTGGTATAATTAAATGTTTGATTTGTGAGAGAGAAAGGGGATCTTTAACTGAAAATTTTTGTGATAAGCAAATATAATCTTAAGGGTTAATGCAAATGCCGTGCAAGGACAACACGCATCAAGAAAAGTATGGGTAAACCGTCTGCCTTTTTCCATACTTGCATGCAGATGGCAAGTCAAATACAAACGTTGAAACATTATGCGGAAAATAACTATTTTATAATTGGTGTTCTAAACTGATTGAGATTTTATACCCCACGAAATCAAACATCTCAAGTCCCACCTAAAAGTGCTTAAACTCCTCTATCCGCTACCATCATCTGTATAGAATCAAGTAAACTATATATCATCAATTTGGAAGGTATAAAATCGTTGTCTAATTCTAACTTGTCGATGTGCCAATTTATCTAGTTCATGCAATGATACATATAATTTGAAGAAAAACAAAAAAGTGGAGTGTGGATTAATGTTAACTTGATTGGTCCATCTAAACTGTTTCATCCCGGTAATTAGCTTATCGCATAAGTCACCTTTGATTTTCTTAATTCTTGTTTGATTAGTACAATCGGGATTATCTCTTGACTGCTTTATGATGAATTAGTTTTTGGGTAGGTAGGTCGGGTTGGATCAGGTTGCATCAGTATAATAAACAGAGAACAAATTTTGGAGTGGATTGCAATTTTAGAAATTTCTACTGATCAAGAACAGCCTCAAAATAGGTGGTTTAAACTCTTATGGTTGACTTAAAATAATAAAATGTTATTTGTAATAACTCTTTTTTATAAATGAGCCCGCACTCTAAGAATAGGAAGAACAATTAATGCATTGAGATTAATTTGAACACCAAATTTATTGAATGGGTGGCTGTATAAGTTTTGAATTCTAAATTATAACCAATAATTATAAATACAAATGAAATGAAATTATTAATTAACTATTACTCATATCATATATGTACTATTCGATTTAAGCTAATTTGGTGATGTTGTTGATCATATTCTTTTCCCTTATGATGTACTTTTTTTTCTATTGTTTTCCAAATATTTACGTTAGAATTTCTCCCATTGATTTCATTGGACAAGGCTGCTAGTGTTTGACAATTCAATTTAGGCCTAGAGAATTATCAATGGCAAAGGATAGTCTTCTTCAAAATCCCTTTAGCCAGGGAGTTGATTGAGTCTTTTACTTTAAAATTCCACCAGGTTTTAGCTTAAAAGTATTATAAATGAAATCAAAAATACCAAAACTCTTAAGAATTTGAAATCAGGACTACTTGCATTTTCTCAGTACCGATCGAGTAGATCATAAAGAAGAAATTTGAAGCTTGGCTGCCAAGTCCATATTAATCCCACTGCAAATATGATTAAAGATGAACTGTCCAAATTAATGGCTGTGAAGAGGATAAGTTAATTTTCAAGTAATCTTGTAATTAGAAAGTGGCCAAGTTGTGTTGATATCTCAATTTTGAAAGTGACCAGAACAGAATTCCCTTGTGAAATTAATTCATACTCTTTGGTTGTTGAAACGTTATGCAAGATACCCACCAAAAAAAGAGTTGGAGAAACAAAAATGAATAAAGAATATTGCCAATGTCTCAGATAGCAATTTTGAAAATTTTCCTAGAATCTGATAGAATTTATTTTGTTTAATTTGCACTCTGAATCGTGAATTATTCTCAATAAAATACTGCATGCATGCATGCATGAACAAGGAATGACTTCTAATAGTAATGATTGAAAAAATGATGCATGAAGTGTCTCCTTGTAAATGACAATTGAAGCCACCTAATTAGAAAGATCATTGCTAAATGCTATACATAAAATACTCAACTATCTCCCTAGGCAACATATTCATCTATTCAATCAAAGTCCTTGAGTATAAGAGTTCTGATTCCACTGACTTAAAATATTTAAAACAAAAATATATTCTATTTATTTATTTATTTATTAAAAGTTAGAATTTTGTGGCTGTGATTAAGTCACGTTAAGAAAATTAAAATAAAATGGTAAGATAAAAATTAAAAAAAAAAAAAAACTCCGTTTTTCTTTGTTTCC